CACCACCAACCACCACCTACTACTACTACTACTACTACTACTACTACTACTACTACTACTACTACTACTACTACTACTACTACTACTAAACTACTACTACTACTACTACTACTACTACTACTACTACTACTACTACTACTACTACTACTACTACTACTACTACTACTACTACTACTACTACTACTATTACTACTACTACTACTACTACTACTACTACTACTACTACTACTACTACTACTACTACTACTACTACTACTACTACTACTACTACTACTACTACGGCTGCAGCAACACAACCACCAACAGCAAAAACATAACGACAACAGCAACAATCAGATTAACCAGGCTAGCTCCTATCTGCCCGCGTGCCATGCAACACGTATATCCCAGACCGTCGGTATATCCCAGACCCTCGGTACCCGCCCTCTTCGTCTTCCACCGTACCCCCCATTGGGAGTAGATCTACATTACCTGGCACGTGCATTTAGCGCAGCCCGTAAGCAGGGGAAGACAGGACGGATGGAAGGGGGACGGAGAAGGACGGAGCTCGAGAGAGATTAGCGGGAGGGGTGCTAAGAACAGAAAACACGTGGCAGAAACAGACGGGCAGATCGGGCGGGCAGACCCTGGCGGGCGGGTCGGAAGGCGGGCTGCTGAAGCGTAAGACCTGCATGAATCGCGCGGAAGTCCAAAGGAAAGCATGCAGACAAAAACCGAAGCGACAACTCCTGAGCGTCGAGAGCGCGGCGCCTGAATACACGGCGAGGAAGTCCGACGCGAGTGCGCGAGTCCTGCATAAATTGTGAGGGAGTCCCGCGCGAGATCGCCATGTTTACCAGCCTGGAACATATCCCTATCCCTATGCTGGGCATCTCCTCATCACGATGCCAATCTCAGGGACTTCCTTATTTTTTTGAGGGCGAATCCCTAAGGTTGTCATCGCCTTCTGGCGTGTCAATCTTAGGGAAAGGGATACGTTCGAGGCTGGCAACATGTTGGAATACACTGTGCGGAAGTACCAGGCGGGAGCCGTTGCTGCTGCAGCTCGGGCGCCACGGGGCCAGCTTGAGCGTCAAGACTCTTCAGTCTAAAAAACCGGGTGCGAAGCCAGGGGAGGGGTACTTCCATTGGAAAAAAGCAGTGTGCGCCGGAGAGGGGGGGATCGACACTGAGTATTCTTCAGAAGTGAAAGATCAACGACGACGACGACGACCACGACGACGACGACGACGACGACAACTAAAACAACAGCAACAACAGTACCAACAACAACAATGACAACAACAGCAACAACAGCAGCAGCAGAAGCAACAGCAACAAAAACAACAACGACAACAACCATAACAAAAGCAGCACCGACAACAACAACAGCAACAACAGCAGCAACAACAACACAACCAACAACAACCACAACAACAACAACAACAACAACAACAATTACTAGCACGTGGGGACACACCGTTCTCACCAGTGCCAGGGTTTTCATAGGAGGCGGGCAATACCCCCACTTTGTGGGGGGGCCGGTTCAAGCTCTACCAAATTTCCAAACGACTCTTCGCCACCACCCACACCCAGCTTCCCGCCCTATGACGTTCGGACACTTCACTTCGTGGCATGCGGACGACCGTGGCTACTATTCAGGGCCCCGCGGCCGACGACGACGGCGTGCGCGCGCGAAGAAAAAACGAATGTGTCCCGCATGGTATTATTTGACAGGGATGATGGCCCTGGCAGGTGCGCAACCGTTGTTGCAGAAGTTCGAAAAAGTTGCTCGCAAAAGCCCGTTTGACAGAAATGTTTAAAAAGTGTTGGGTTTCCTACAAATCCGCAAGAGCGCGCGGGATGAAATTTTGACACTTTTTTTTTGAAAAACCATTGGTTTGTTGATGTTTTTATGTTGAAAATCGCTACGAAAACTAAGGTTTTGGAAGGATTTCGTCTTGCGCGCGCGAATGTCCACTTTACCTTATTTTTTGCAAGGGATTCTTGAAGTTTGGTTATGTTAGAACAAGAAATGTCCACTTTAGCTTATTTTTTGCAAGGGAAAACGGGGGACAACAAAACAACCGGATCCGGACACCCACGTTTTGCCTGAGACTTCCTCACGAAAATGATGAAAATGTGGCTGCGGCCTAGGCGCGGCGAGGGGGCCGCGCACCAGGGGCCCCAACAATAATTATTCTTTAGAATAAATAATGTTCAACAACAACCACAACAACAACAACAACAACAACAGCAGCAGCAACAGCAACAGCAACAGCAACGCAACAACAACCGCAGCAGCAATAACAACAACAACAACAACAACAACAACAACAACAACAACAACAACAACAATCAGTTTAAGACAGCTCGCTCTTCATTGCTCGCGTCCCCCAACGTGTATACCCCAAGCCCTCGACGCCCGTCCTCGCGTACCCACTTTGCGGAGCACCGTTGCTGCGCCAGCCACTGGCCAAGCCCCGACAAATTGGCCGGGCGGACCCGAACGGGCGGGTCGAGCGGGCGGACCATAACGGGCAAGGCGGGTGGGCGGGCCCTGGCCGGCCGCCTGGCTGGCCAGGCGGGCGGGACAGCGCAGCGGGCGGGCGGGCTTCCGAGGAAGCGCACGGACCGACGAGAACGGGCGGGCCAGGCGGGCGGGCCGCGCGGATGGACGCTGAGGGGCGGGCCCAGTCGGGCGGCACACTGCTGCGCGAGCGCGGGGCAGGTCGTGAGGAAGTCCCGGGCGCGAGCGCAGGCCCCACATGGAGATGAGGCGGCACCCTGGGCAGAAGGGCCAGTCCTGGTGGGCGAGGGCGCACCCCTCGAAGAGATCGTGAGGAAGTCCCAAGCAAGAGCGCGACTCCTGAGCCGCGAGGGCGCGACTCTCAGACCAGGAGAGCTGCGGGCGTGCCCGGCCGGAGCGCGCTCCCTCTCACGAGCGAGGGCGCCCGAAAACAAACGGCCAGGCACTCTCGGGCGGGAGAGCCGGTTGCTGCACACCCAGGGGCCAACAGGTGCGGCCCGACACTCTCCGCGCTTCCGCGGGCAAAACGCGGGGGTGCGCGCCCCGGGGGGGAGGGCGCCCACATCGAAAAAGAACAGTGGGTACAGCTGGGGGGAGCAGGAGGGAGTCTCAGTGCGCCACACTTGCCCAGGACGGCGGTGACCAGGAGGAGGAGGAGGAGGAGGAGGCGGAGGAGGAGGAGGGGGAGCAAAAATGTTCAGCCTCAGGCGCCGCGCGGAAAAGAAAGACAGAGCCGGCGGCGCGCGCGCGGCTCCCTCTCGCGGGCCACACCGATGGCGACCCGCAGGAACCGGAAGCCCTCGAGCTGCACACCCTCGGAGTCGCCATTGCACCTCGGTGCACTCCTCCTCCTCCTCCTCCTCCTCCTCCTCCTCCTCCTCCTGCTGATCCGCCTCATCATGCTTCTCCTGCCATTGATCTTGATCCAGCCCGTCTCATCTCCCTCTTCTCCCTCATCTTCCTCATCATATGCCTTAGTATGTCCCTCCTCTCCACAGTCATAACCGCCATGGTCATCACATCGTCCTCATCAAGCTCCGCCTACTCCTCCTGCGATTGGTGCTCGTCCCACTCATCCCCCGCTTCTTCTCGAGGAGGAGAGCGCAAAGATTCCATACGCGGCAAAATCCGTAGAACTGTTCCTCGCGAGATGGCGCTAAAGATGGTGATCAACCTACCGCCTGGGGTAGCCAGTGCGGCACCACTTGCCCCTGCCAGGCCTCAAAAGGGATCCGAACGCTGCCTTTGCCAGACGCAACGGTCCACCACACCCAGAGCACAACCATGTTACTGAGTGTGTGGTGCAGCGCGCAGTGCGAGAGGTGAGGATAGACTTAGGTCAGGCATGTCCTCCTACAGGCTGATATTGGAAGAAAAATGCAACATAGTCCAAAACAATTCTCGAAAATAGTCAACAAATATTCAAAAAATCGTCCCCTGCCCATTCTTTGACTATTCTCGAATATTCCTCCTGTAGAGGGACATGCCCGACTTAAGGATAGACCTGACACGTGTCCTTCCAAACGCAGCTCGTTGGGAGCGCAGGGCGGCAGTGCGTCAGCCATCGTTGCACAACCTGGGCCCCAGACATCTTACCAGTTCGTCCCCTCCGCAACCGACAGAATCAGCAAAGACAGGCAGGCGCGCAAGACCGTTTGCTAACCGTGCCTCCTGGTCTCCGCAAGCCACTGGTGACGACGCGCACGCCCCCGAGAAGCATAATAAGGCGCCGACGCCTGGCCATCGCTCGGACGTCCATTCCCTGTGTTTTTTTCGGTTTCGTGCGTGGCTTTTTCGCCAAATGATCAAGAATGCTCCTCGATGGCCCTCGCCGAAGGAAAAAAGCACACGTCCGAGCGATGCCAAGACGCTGGAGCACCGGCCTGGACCTCCACGTCGTGAGAGGCAGGCCCCGCGGAACCTCCGATGGGCCACTCGAAGAGAGCCCTCTAGGGCTGGGGCGCGGGGAGCCCTCCGCTCCCTCCGCGAGGCCGCCGCTCGCAGTCCCCCCCGGGCCGCCTCCAGATGAGGTCCAGCGCCGGGTCCGGCAGCTTGAAGCCGAACTCGGCGCTCGAGTAGGCCAGGATGTCCTCTTCTCGGGTCGGGCGAAAGGGGGGGATAGCAAAAGGGGGGGGGTGAGAATCAGCTCACGCAGCTGATCTTCCCGGCGCCTCCCGGCGCCGGAAGCGGCCATGCATCGAGGAATGGGCCCCTCGGTGCGGCCGAAGCCGGCTGCATGCGGCAGATTCCGTAACCCCCCCCTTTCCCAATCCCCCCCTCTCGTCCGGCCCGATCTGCGCGCGCGCTCACAGCGCAGGGCTGGAACGCACGAGGCGAGAGGCGCGACGGAGGGCCGCCGGCAGAAGGGGTGCGCACGAGCTCTCGGAGGTTCGCGCGGTACCCCGGCCTGGGCGCGCGGACCGCGCCGGAGGCGCCGCCTGCGGTGTGGGAAGGGGGGTCAAACGGAAATCCGCGCGGACATCCGAGGCATCTATATATATATATATATATGTATATATATACATCTACAAATATATACATATATATATATACACACAGTCGAGGCGTTGACCTAAGGAACCCTAAAGAATCAACGAGGCCCCTATTTTCCATAAGTTGAACTTCGATTTCGCATCGAAAACCTAAGGGAAATCAAAGGCAAGCTGCGAAATAGTTAAGGAACACGGAGCCCCGCCCCAACGAAAAGGGTTCCTTCTTCAGGGCCCCGACTGTATAATATATATATATGATATAATATATATATATATATATATCTATATATATATATTAGTGCCGCTTCTTCACATGCCAACGAATCTGCCGAAAGGGGGGAGAGACGTATCCAGACAGCGACGATCTGGCGATGGCACAGCAGGACACTGCCGGACCTGCAGCCGATGGGGAAGCTGGGGCTGAAAATGACTGCACATTGGCTCCCGCTCCGTCAACCACGAGGAAATTAATGATTAATTGATTCGCCACTGGTTCACCGGACTCGCATATGTTCATCTATATATTCGTTCACATCTGGTTCACGATTGGTGGCCTTCTCCTGCGGCACTACAAAGTTACGAGAGAGCCCTTCTATCTATCCTGTGACGCCTCTTTCCTACTTCTCGCACCCACCCTCCTCCTCTCACCCTTCCCACAACTGCGCATCCTCATTCTCATAGGACGGTCCTTTCGAGCCAGAACGCCGCCGGAGCCTTTGGAGTATTTGTTGAATAACCTCCGCGCAGCACGGGCATGCTCGCCACTCCTCGCTCGCCCCTCGCCTCTCCTCTCCTATCCTCTCCTCTTGCTCCAGCAAGCGCCCGTCGTCAGGCTGCTGCGACACGAACTCCACCCACTCCGTCGCAAACATATGCACGCAACACCTCAACTGCTTCTTCTGGCCCGCGCATCTTCGTCTCGAAGGCTGATGTCGCATCGAGGCTCTCCTCTCCCCCTCATCCATCCCCAGATCCCCCTCCTCCCTAGCCCCTGCCGCCTTCATATTTTCACAACGTCGACCCCCAGAGGTCTGGAGCCATCCCCTGGGACCAGTGTTTCGTCCCGAGACGTTCTTGACGGTCCCGAGGCTCGGTCAGGGCACCCCGAGGCCGATAATAGCGAAAAACCTCCGGTCGTGATTCTTGTCACGACGCGAGGGGGTCTGGGTCCCATGACACCTGCTCGCGCCCCTCCGTCCTGTCCCCCTCCCCTGTGCTCCCCCTCTTGGGCACGGCCCCTCTGATCCGCCAACGCGCCGGCCCGCCGGCGATCCGACGGGCCAGAGCCACGTGTCTGCCCGACGCGCCAGCGAGGTGTCGAGCGGGTAGCGCCTCCCATGGCCCGACACGCGAGAGCCCCCCAGGTCTGGTCTCGGTGCTCTCTCGGTGCTCGAAACTCTGTCTGGTGGCCCAGGCTAAAGTAGGTCGGAACATCGGAAGGCTCTGCCTCCACATGCGGGCCAGAACAGGACCGAATCGCGACAGCAGCTCGGATCGGAAACGGATCGGACCGCCAGCGCATGGCCCCGAACCGAACCGCTGGGCGGACCGCTGCGCCCGGCTCCGGCTGGTCCTGGCCGACGCCAGCGAACCGAGCCAGATCGAATCGGCCCGGAATCGCGGCAGGGGCAGGCGAATCGAATCCTGCCGAATCCGGTCGCACGCGGCCCCGCATCGGCCCCGCTCGCGGGGGGCTTTGCCTCCACCTGGCATCCGCCAGTCGACTACACGTAGGAGTGACCTCAGGCTAGAGTGACCTTTGGTGCGCGGTTTCAGGGGCGCACGTGGGGGCCCAACGCAATCGCGCAAGCCGGCGTTGCCGCGCCGCATCAACGATCGGCAGGGCGCCACTCGAAATATTTACTTGCGCCAGCGGGCAACCGCGGAATTCCGCCGATTGAATTCGAGCGCCCCGAATGGAATTTCGAAGGGCCTGCGAAAGCAGACGCTGCCGGGGGGCACCGCGATGAGGTCTGGCACTGCCAGGGTGCATCGCGATCATGTCGGACCAGGCCCGGCGCCACGGCCAAAACCGGCCCCAAGAGCCCGGAATATGTTTGAATATCTTTGGATAATTTAAGTACAGATCCCCATTGGTTCGAAAAAACATATTCAGACAGATTCAAAGATATTCAAACCGATTCAAATATATCCAAACATATCCAAATATATTCAAGCCAAACGTTCTGGGATTTGCGCTGGGATTCGGAACTGGTCCTGGGCCGGAAAGCGCGCCGTCTGGTCGACCGGCTCCCCCTCGGGCAACCAATACAAATTGTTGGCTTCGACGCGTATGCGTTGCTGTCGATTGCAAGGGGTGGGCCAAAACCTGGCGCGCTCAGCTGCGAGCGTAATTACGCGATGCGTGTGCCGACGCGAGGCCAAGCTCACCCCAAAAGAAAAATCACCCGACACCCTTTGGGCAAGCACCGAAGGTCACTCCGGCGAAGGATCACTGTTACGTGTAGTCGAGCCAGGCGTTGCGACGGCTCCCGCCGGCGAGAGGCCGACCTCGGCCTGCTCCAACCCGCGCCCCGCGGCTATCCTGAAAGAACCGTGCAAAGGCCAGCTTGCCGCCCGCGCCCCCCAGAAGGATGGCACGCTGTTCGTTATCGCTGTGATCGCTGTTTTCGTCGTCGTTGTTACCGTTGTGATCGTTGTTATCGCTGTCGTCGTTATCGGTATTGCTGCCACCCAAAAGGACGGCTCGTCCGCAGCCATCGGTCCGGCCACCGCAGGGGCCGAACAGGCCAGCCAGAGCCCCGGCCCTCACTGAGAGGCCGCCTGCCTGACCATCCAGGGCTGCAGTGAGGAGCGTGCGTCCGTGGGACCTGCATCTTCCCTCCCATGCCTCGTCTCGCCCGTCCTCTGCCCTACTTCCCGCCCTGAATCATCTCCGCCCGCCCATCCTGCTCCATTCCCCCCTTTCCCTGTCCAGGATCTGCCCCGCAGGCACTGATGAAGAGCAGGTCGCGGCGAAACTGTAACGAATCGCGCTACCGAGGAACCCCCACAGACTTAGATGACACACACTGCGGTGATGCAAAGATTGCGTTGCGGATAGGACTTGGGAGCCATCCCATCCACACCCCGCCTGGTGTCGAGAGAGAGAGAGAGAGAGAGAGAGAAAAAAAAAAATACTGGATTGGAGTGGGAAAAATGTCGGCGCGGGGCCAGGGGGGAAGTGAGAAGGGGCGGGCCTTCTCAGAAGGCTCGGAAGCACCCTGGCCTTCTGACAAGTTTTCCCTACTGAAGCCTTCCCCGAAGGCACAGAAAACCTCTCAGTAGGCGCGAGGGCTTCTGAGAAGCCCCGCCGCCTTCTGAGAAGGCGTTCTCCTTCTCACTTCCAAGCTCTCGCTCGCCGCCGTGCGGCGGCAGACTCCAGCGGGACTGCATCTACCGATGGAGGCGGGAGCCCCCAGACGAGGCGCAGCCAAGCCCGAAGCCCATCTCGAGCGCTTGTCATGTCCAGGCACGGAGGTGGCGGTGCGTCCCCGGCAACCCTGCGCGGAAGGACTGCCGCGGGCAGCAAGGGAGCGCGCGAGCTGCCTTTGGGGTGAAGCCCGGGCGCGCCTGCGCGGAAGCCCAGGCGTGTGGAGCCAGCTTGGGCCAAGGTGTGTTCCTTTTCTGCATGCTGCGCAAGTGTTGCACCGCACCCGTGTACAGTTCTGGATGCAGCTGACAGCATACGCCACCTGTGAAGTCGAGACATCCTGACGAGACCGCGCTTCACCCTGCCTCCTCCCCATGCGTTCTCCTGATCATCCTCTTCCTCCTCCTCCTCCTTCTCCTCTTCCTCCTCCCCCTTCGCCTCATCCTCCTCCTCCTCCGTCTCCTCCTCCTCCTCCTCCTCCTCCTCCTGCTCCTCCTCCTCCTCCTCCTGTGTTCCTGATCCCGTCCACTTGTCCACGTGGAAAACGTCGCAGGCTCTTCGTACACCCTCTGATATCCCGCAAAAGACCCCTGTGCACCAACTACGGCAAGAGAAAGTGCCACGCCTGCCACGCTTTGCGAGCGGGCGAAGAATAGCGCCCCCACCCCCTGCGCACCCCCTGCGGCGTCGAGAAAGTGCAGCGACTGCCACGCTTGGCGAGCGTGCGACGGATAGCACCCCCACCCACTTCGAACCCCCTTTGGTGTCAAGAAAGTGCCACGCCTGCCACGCTTTGCGAGCGTGCGGCGGACAGCGCCCCCACCCCCTGCGAACCCCCCCCTGTGTCGAGTAAGTGTTATGCCTGCCACGCTTTGCGAGCGTGCGACGGATACCGCCCCAACCCCTAGTGCATAGCCCTGGTGTCGAGGAAATGCTACGCCTGCCACGCTTTCGGGCGTGCGACGGATAGCGCCCCAACTTTTGTCGAGCAAGTGCCACGCCTGCCACGCGTTGCGAGCGTGCGACGGATCACGTCCCCGCCCCCTTATCTGCGGATGTGTGTGCTGCGCATATGTATGGTGTGTGTGTTGTGTGCTGTGTGTTGGATGTTGTGTGCTGTGTCGTGTGTTGTGTGTTGTGTTATGTGCAGTGTGTTGTGTGTTGCGTACTGTGTGGTGTGTGTTGTCTGGTGTGGTATGTGTGAGTGGGTGTGTGGTGTGTGTTGCGTGGTGTGTCGTGTGCGCCGTGTGTTGTGTGCTGTGTGTTGAGAATTGCGTGCTGTATGTTGCGTGGTGTGTGTTGTGTGGTGTGTGGTGTATGATTTGTGGTGTGTGGTGCGTGGTGTGGTGTGTGGTGTGTACGTGCGGGTATTGTGTGTGTGTTGTATGGTGTGTGTGTGTTGTATGGTGTGTGGTGTGTGCTGTGTGTTCTGTGGTATGTGGTGTGCGGTGTTTGTTGAGTGTCGTGTGTTGTGTGTTGTCTGTTGAGTGTGTGTGTGGTGTGAGTTGTGTGTTGCGTGGTATGCATTCTGTGTTGTGTGGTGTGGGTGTGGGTGTGGGTGAGGGTGTGGGTGCTGGTGTGCGTGTGCGTGTTGCGTGTTGCGTGTGCGTGTGCGTGTGCGTGTGCGTGTGGATGCGGATGCGGGAATGGTGTGTGGTGTGGGTGTGGGTGTGGGTGTGCGGGTGTGGGCGTGGGTATGGATGTGGGCGCGGGTGTGGGTGTGGGTGTGCGTGTGGGTGGTGGTGTGGTCGTGTGGTGTGAGTGTGGGTCTGGGCGTGGGTGTGGGTGTAGGTGTGTGTGTGTGTGGGTGTGGGTGTGGGTGTGGGTGTGGGTGTGCGTGTGGGTGTGTGTGTGTGTGTGCGTGTGCGTGTGTGTGTGAACGTGCGCGTGCGCGTGCGCGTGTGCGTGTGCGGATGCGTGTGTGTGTGCGTGTGCGTGTGCGTGTGCGTGTGGGTGTGGGTGTGCGTGGGCGTGGGCGTGGGCGTGGGCGTGGGCGTGCGCTTGGGCGTGTGCGTCGGCATGTGCTTGTGCGTGTGCGTCTGCGTGTGCGCGTGCGTGTGCGTGTGCGTGTGTGCGTGTGTATGTCTGTGTGCGTGTGTGTGCGTGTGTGCGTGCGTGTGTGCGTCCATGCGTGCGCGCGTGCGTGCGCGTGCGTGTGTGTGTGTGTGGTGTGGGTGTGGGTGTGGGTGTGGGTGTGTGTGTGGGGGTGTGGGTGTGGTTGTGGGTGTGGGTGTGTGTGTGGGTGAGGGTGTGGGTGTGGGTGTGCGTGAACGTTTGCGTGTGCGTGTGCGTGTGCGTGTGCGTGTGGGTGCGGGTGCGGGTGCATGTGCGTGTGCTTGTGCGTGTGCGTGTGCGTGTGTGTGTGTGTGTGTTTGTGCGTGGGTGTGGGTGTGCGGGGGTGTGGGTGTTGTTGTGGGTGTGGGTGTGGGTTTGGGTGAGGGGTGGGTGTGGGTGTGCGTGAACGTGTGCGTGTGCGTGTGTGTGTGCGTGTGCGGGTGCGTGTGCGTGTGGAATGGCGTGGGTGTGGGCGTGGGCGTGGGCGTGGGTGTGGGCGTGTCCGTGTGCTTGTGCGTGTGCGTGCGTTTATGCGTGCGTGCGTGCGTGTGCGTGTGGGTTGGTGTGTGTGCGGGGTGTGGGTGTGCGGGGTGTGGGTGTGGGTTTGGGTGTGGGTGTGGGTGTGGATGTGGGTGTGGGCGTGGAGTTGTGTGTGCGTGTGTGCGTGTGCGTGTGTGGGTGTGTGTGGTGTGTGTGCGTGTGTGTGGTGTGTGGTGTGCGGCGTGTGTGGGTGCGGTGTGTGGTGTGTGGTGTGTGCTGGGTGGTGTGTGGTGGGTGGTGTGTGGTGGGTGGTGGATGCGTGCGTGCGTGCGTGCGCGCGTGCGTGCGTGCACGTGTGCGTGTGCGTGCGCGTGCGCGTGTGCGTGTGCGTGTGAGTGTGTGTGTGTGTGTGTGCGTGTGCGTGCGCGTGTGCGTGCGCATGCGCGTATGCGTATGCGTGTGCGTGTGCGTGTGCGGTTGTGTGTGTGTGCGTGCGTGTGCGTGTGCGTGTGCGTGGACGTGGGCGTGGGCGTGGGCGCGGGCGTGAGCATGGGCGTGGGCGTGGACGTCGGCGAGTGCGTGTGCGTGTGCGCGTGCGCGTGAACATTCGCGTCCGTGTGCGTGCGTGCGTGCGTGCGTGTGTGGGTGGGTGTGTGCGTGAGTGCGTGCATGCATGCTTCCGTGCGTGCAGGCGTGCGTTCGTGCTTGTGTGTGTCCATGTGTGTGTGGGTGTGGGTGTGGGTGTGGGTGTGGATGTGGGTGTGGGTGTGTGTGTGTGTGTGCGTGTGTGCGTGTGCGTGTGCGCGTGTGCGCGTGTGCGCGTGTGCGCGTGTGCGTGTGCGCCTGTGCGCGTGTGCACGCGTGCGCGTGTGCGCGTGTGCGCGTGTGCGCGTGTGACGTGTGTGTGTGTGTGTGCGCGTGTGTGCGTATGTGCGTGTGTGCGCGTATGTGCGTGTGTGCGTGTGTGAGTGTGTGCGTGGGTGCGTGTGTGCGTGTGTGCGTGTGTGCGCGTGTGCGTGTGTGCATGCGTGCGTGCGTGCGTGCGTGCGTGCGTGCGTGTGTGCGTGTGCGTGTGTGCGCGTGTGCGTGTGTGCGTGTGTGCGCGTGTGCATGTGAGCGTGTGTGTGTGTGTGTGTGTGCGCGTGTGTGTGTGCTGTGCCTGTGTTGTGTGTGCTGTGTGTACGTGTGTCTGTGTGTAAATGTTTGTTCATGTGTGTATGTGTGTCTGTGTGTCGGTGTGTGCGTGCGTGTGTGGTTGCGTGTGCGTGTGTGTGCGTGCGTGTGTGTGTGTGCGTGTGTGTGTGCGTGTGTGCGTGTGTGTGCGTGTGTGCGTGTGTGCATGTGTGCGCGTGTGCGCGTGCGCGTGCGCGTGTGTACGTGCGTGTGCGTGTGCGTGTGGTTGTAAGTGTGTGCAAGTGTGTGTAAGCGTGTGTACGTGTGTGCAAATGTGTGTAAACGTTTGTGTACGCGCGGCGAGGTATGCGCGTGTGTCCAATGTGGATACCGTGTGTGTGTGGTGTGCGTGTGGGTGTGTGGCTAGTTTGTTCGGCACGCCCAACGCGCCAGAGGGAAGGGAGGAAAGAGAGGAGGCGGGAGACGCGGAGAGGGAGGATGGGGGGTGGGTGAGCGCGAGTGCGACGCGGGTGGGAATGAAACCAGATCCCCACTTAGCGTGTGGGGACATAACATCGCAGAAGACTGCACGCTAACGAGTGCACCACCTCCACCCGTCACCGTCATCGCTATCGCCATCGTCATCGCCATATGCTCTCAACCCATGTACCACGACCACAAGAAAGGGCGTGCGTGTGCTGGCAGTGAGCCTCTTGGCGTCCTCGGACTCCTCGAGGGCCTTTGCATACCGCAGCGCCTGGAAACGGAGAAGAGGGGATCGAGAGGAGGGAGGGCAGTGGGAGCGAGAGAGCAGGATTTGGTGGGTGGCCACGCTGATGAAGCTGGCAGCCTGTCAGCAAAGGCTGGCACTGCAACCAGCAGAAGATCTGGTGATACCGAAGACTCTGCACGCGCGCCAAGTAAGCAAACAAGCACGCTGGAGTAGCCTTGGCGAGGAAGCAGACGAGGCACGTCGCCCCGAAGCGCCGAGGCTGGAGACGGAGAACATCCAACCCATGCCCACCACACCCGCTCTCCAAACACCCCCACCTCCGCGTCGAGCAGCTTGGCCAGCATCGGCTCAAGTCGTCGATAGGTGGCTCCAGGCAGGCAGACTGACAGGCGGAGCCAGACAGGAACGACCGCCGTGGCTTGGGCACTCGGCCACTCGCAAGGGGGACGGAGGGAGGGCGACCGTCCTAACCCTAGCCTCAGCCCTGCCCCCCCCAGCGCCCCTGGAGGAGGAGGAGGAGGAGGAGGAGGAGGAGGAGGAGGAGGAGGAGGAGGAGGAGGAGGAGGAGGAGGAGGAGGAGGAGGAGGAGAGGATAGCAGCAGCCACAGCCCCAACCCTCAGCCCTCGCACTTGCCTCCAGCGTGGCAACAGCCCGAGCCCCATCCTTGATCCTGTCGCCCCAGCCCCCGGCCCTGGCCCTCGGCCTGAGCCTCCGCCACGCCACTGGCCCTCGACGACCCCAGCCAGCCGTTGCACTCGCCCTCGGCCTGGCCGCAGCCTGACTCGTGTACCTGACCTTGCCAGCCTAGCCCTCGGCCCTTCCCCTCGACTTCGACCGTGGTGTCAGCCATGGCATCGTCGTTTCGCGCGTGCGCACCCCTGCCTCTCAGCCTGGCCTCCGCCGCAGCGTGTACCCCTCGCCTGATCCACGCGCATCGGCCCTGGATCCAGATCCCTGGGCTCGGCATGGATGAAGATACACGGGCGCAGCCCGGGTCACTATGCCTGGACTGTGACCACAGCTTTGTCCTTGCATCTTGATCCAGGCTGATTGCAGGGATCTCGACCCAGGCTCGGCCAAGAGGTCTTGATCCACATGAGTCGCGCCTGGATCAAGATCCCTGGACTGAGCCCGGGTCAACATACCTAGGCTGAATCTGGACCAAGGCTGCTGGACTCAGCCCGGATCGACACACCCAGGCTGTGACCGAGGCTCAGCCCAGGGATCTTGATCCCAGCCCAGTTCACTGCTGATCCAGGGTTGATCCAGGAGCCCTGGTCCGCGCGCACCTCGTCACGGGATGGAGTCCCAAGCTGAGCTTGGTCCACAATCCCTGGGCCGAGCCTGGATCAGGGCCCCTGGGGCCAAGCCTGGACCACGACGCCTGGACGGAGCCAGCGTCGCCCATGGAAGGCCCCAGGAAGGGAAGGTTCCGAGAGGGCCCCTGGAGCGCTTGAGGAAGCCCCCCAGGGGGTTGTCACTGTGACGGGAGCTCAACATGACAGTTCCGAGGATTCTACGCGCGTGTTTCTGTTCTCGACAAATACGGCCTGCGCCAGCGCGAAACCAGCAGCAGCAGCAGCCCGGTCCAGTGCAACGCGTTGCCAGCGCCTGCGAGCGTCGGCCTCCCCAGCAGCCGCACTCGGCGCGCTGGTGTGACGTGCCGGCTCACGTCGGAGAGCGGCGGCGGCGGCGGCGAGGTCGGCCCGCACCGCGACGCAGGCGCCTCGGCAGGCAGCAACGCGGGCGCGCGACCAGCATGCGGTCACCCGGCGGAGCACGAGGTACGCCGCGCGAGCGTTAGGTCGGGCATGCCCCCCTACAGGCGGATTTCGGACGAAAAGATAAGATACTCCAAAACACACACCCCGAATAATCAAACAAATGCTAGAAAAATCGTCCCCAGACTGTTGACGAGCTCCCATCGGTGAAATCCCTGGCGTTGCCCGCGGCGGTGCAACTGGTGGCGCGGCAGGCGGACCTCCAGCACGTGGAGGGTCCACAGCAGCCGCGACCACCTCGTCCGCGTTGGCGACGGGGGGTGGCGGCCATGCTGCAGGCGTCGGCGCCCGCGCGGTCGTCGGCATGACTGTGCGCGCCTGCTCGCCTTGCAGCTCCACGCCTGTGACCAGGCCCGCCAGCATCGTCGGAGCAGGCCGCGCACGAGGTGAATCATGACGATCAGGACGCCGAAGAGCAGCGGCAGTCACAGGGGCCGAAACGTCGGCCGCGCGGGGCGGCCTGCGAGCGCGTGCAGCGCGCAGCCCGGGCGCGCGCAGTCGCCGCGCGTGCCCAGCAGGGGCGACGCGCACGGCCGCTGTACCGTGAGGAGGCGGCCAGAATCAGCACCCTGCGTGCCGGAGATGGCCCCGGACCTGGAACGGCGGCCTGAGCCAAAGTGGCTTGAGCCAAGAAGGCTGCACGTCGCCTGGAAGAAGCAGGGCAGAACATTGGATAGAAGGCGGAGAAGGCAGAGTGGGCTCAAAAGCATATCGAGTCTTGAGGCTGGAAGGCGCTTGAAGTAGATTGGGAGCTGGGAGCCCCAAAGAGGACCTACTCTCGACGGTCCGCGTGCACGGTCGAGGGCGGGGGGGAGGGAGGGTCAGGGGGCGGAGGAGGGGCAGGGAAGGCGAGGCGGACGAGGGCGAGGGCTGGGGAGGGGAAGGGTGGGGAGCTGGAGGGGGGTGGAGGGGGAGGGGGGTGGAGGGGGGTGGAGGGGAGGTGGGCAAGGGCGAGGGCTGGGGAGGTGGAGGGGGGTAGACAAGGAGGAGGGAACGGGGATAGAAACGTCAGTTCACTGAATGAAACAATCGCACAGACCACCCTGACGGGCGGCCCTCTCGGCCCTGCCAAGAAATGTGGGCCATAAACCTCGGCGAATTCGGCATTCGAAACAAAACATGAATTCGGCTCAATTGCTCGACCCCTGTTGACGTGGCGCGCAATCTACTGGGGAATGAGCCGCACACCCTGCAGCAAAGCCACAGCTCCTGAGCGAACCACAGACCCATGATGCGACCACCGCGGACCCGGCCCTCCGCTACGTGGAGCTCATCACGTAGAGGCTCAGTGTGATACGGACCAGGTAGGGCCCAAGGGGAGGGGAGGGCGAGGGGAGAGGGACAAGCTGGGTGCGCACGTGCCGCCACCTCTGAAATCGCACAGTCATCGTGCTGCCCCGAGGCTGGCCATCGCTCGGACATCCATTCCCTGTGCTTTTTTTGGTTTCGTGCGTGTTTTTTTCGCCGAATGATCGAGGATGCTCCTCGATGGTCCTCGCCGAAGGAAGAATGCACACGTCCGAGCGATGCCAAGGCGAGGGGAGAGGCACAGGCTGGGTGCGCACGTGCCGCCACCTCTGACCTCGCACAGTCGTCGTGCTGCCCCGAGGAGCGCACCACGAGGCACGACGGGGCTGTTCGGGCCACGGCAGACCTGGGCCACACACCGGCTCCACGACGAACACCCGAGGAGCGGCCGACAAACCAAGCCCCTCCTGAGCCCAAGCCGCCCGAGTTCAGCGTCTTTGAAGGGGCCCTGGGACACACACACACACACACACACACACACACAAATGCACACACACAAATACACACAGATAAAAAGATTCCCCGTATTTTCCCATGTGTTCTGGGCTTTTGCCCTCCCCCCCCACTTCCCATATGTTCCTAGATGTTCTGGGGAATCGCCGATCTATTGTGTTTGTGTGCTTCTTTCCCTCCTGAGTCTTGGCTGTAACTGCCGGCAATATTTATATCCATATCCAGTGCGTCTTGGACTTTCTTGGAAGGGGCGCCGCAAGGCCGAGGCGCACTGGATGTGGACAAAAATGGGCCCATATTTTCGGGGGAATCGCCGATTTATTGTGTCTGTGTGTTTTTTTTCCCTCCTGGGTCTTGGCTGTAACTCCCCCCCCCACTTCCCCATATTTTCCTATACTTTCTAGGTTTTTGTCTCCCCCCCCACTCCCCACATTTTCCCACATTTTCTAGGGAATCTCCTGAGTCTTGGCAGTAACTCCCCCGCCCATCCCCTCCCGTTGCGCCGATGTCTTCTCTGTCCGCCGGCGGGTGCCATGGCGGACCAGGCGCCCCCCCCCAAAAGGACCCCACACGGTGCTGCGCGCAAGCACCGGGGGGGCCTGTGCACGTTGGTTGGCCATCGCTCGGACGTCCATTCCCTGTTTTTCTCGGCTTCGTGCGTGGCTTTTTCGCCAAACGATCAAGGATTAGATGGTCCTCGCCGAAAGAAAAATGCACACGTCCGAGCGATGCCAAGTTGAAGGAGGTGGATGGTATGGAGGATGGGCAGGAGGACGAGCCGGAGGAAGAGGAGGAAGAGGAATATAGGCAAGCGCGTTCCGCTACTCGCACAGTCCCTACTCGAAAATGGCCTGGATCCGCCGTGGGGATCTACGACGGTTCACATCGAGGCGAACGTGGGTTTTTTTTTCGGACGTTTGCGAGCAGGCACCTTGGCCGTTCTTTGGACGCTTCGCTCGGCGAAGGAAGGAGGAGGACGTTTTTTGGACGTTCGCGCTCGGCGAAGAGAGGAGGAGGAGCAGCAGGAGCGGCGGCGGGAGGAGCGGGTAGGGGGCCACATGCGAACCCTACCCCTACCCCCCACGATTTCTGAGGGGGGGGGGGGTCACTTCGCTCGGGAGCTCCCGAGCGAGCTCCCGAGCGAAGTGAACCCGCTGGGGGTTCGCATGCGGCCCCCCAGCGGGAGGAGCACGAGGACCCGGGGAAGGCGAAGGCGGGCGAAGGAGGGGGCGGCAGCGGCGAGGCCGGGCGCGCCATCCAGGAAGCTGGCCCGCGCGGGGGCGAGGGCGCCCCCCCCCCCGGAGCGACGAGAGGGCAGCGCGCCGCTCTCGAGACGAGGCCGACGCTGCCGCGGGGGCAACGGGAATGAACGAATGAAGCCGCGCGTCCGTAGGCACGTGAGCCATGGCACGGGCGTGCGCCAGACAGTCTACGTGCGCGCCGCTGCTTTCCAGGCTTCCGCTGGAGAGGTGCCCGAGTCT